AAGAAAATAAATGGTCCAAACAAACCAAAATTAAAGGTGAGATCTATTAATGACAATGATTCAAATTCCCACAGTTAAGTAGATTTGAAATATACAGGGTGCCACATAGGCCCCCATACTATTTCAAAGTCATATTGTACCACACACATGTGAGTGGGCGTGCTGCCTCTTTGAAAGGCACCATGGTGAGCAACAGTTTGCAAACCCAACCTGCATGTGGTACAGTATAACTACAGAAAAAAGGCCTAAGTTCCAGACATAAGACTTTACATAATGCTGTCTATCGAGAATAACAGATTAGACTAAATTACCCTAGATAAATGTGCCAAGTTGTGCATGAGTAACATACCAAAAATAAAACGGTAAGAACATACACATATCTGAGAAACAGAGAAGCAGCTTTTATGGCATTCCCCATGAAGAACAGAATTTCTTCCTCCTTCAAAAGTTGTAGAACATACATAACTACATCATCTACTTTTTCAGAAATATAACAATTGATCAAAAAGGATTCTGATGTTCACATACTTCTCAGTTGTCACAACTGCAATGAGTATTACATCCCTTTACGTAGATGGGATTATATAAACAATGATTTACAGTCAGCTTTTTGGATAGATAGATAACTTTTGTGCGGGGTTTTGACTCGTTGCAATTGTCATTTGTTGGATATGTTTTAGTGTATTTTCAAGGCTTGAGATTGGCCGATTTCTACCAAGAACATATTGAGCAAATGACAACCGCAGCCAGTCTAACCCAGCATTTAAAAATCCTAACTGGTCACACAAAGAAAACAAAAAACAACAATTAACCAACAACATCACAAAATTATGACTAATTATTATACCTTTCTACATCATAATCCTAAATCCTGTAAACTCTCCTCACAAATCAAGACACAGTAAACTGCCTTCTTTAGGTGACATAATGTGAGCACTCAGTTCCCAATCTTAACTAAAATTATGATGATCAAGTATTAGAATAATTATGGAAGAAAACCATATCACAGCCCATCCAGATCTCATTACAGAAATATCCTGCCAGAAAGGTCTTAAGATTGACTAACAGTACACTGTTTACCTTAATCTGTTCCACCAGTGTTAGTAAGAAACATTCTAAACTCCAAGCTCTAAGGTCACAATAAAGAACCTATACCAATGTATATAACTGTTTCAAGTTTTAAAAGTAAGATTTCAATTAGTCAACTATTCATAAAAGATAAACTGGCAGACACTTCTCTCTTATAATGTAACATTTTCAAAATGTCAAAAAAAAAATATTCAAAAAATTCAAAAAGATATTCTTGATGAGATATTTATACTCAGTCACAGTTTAAAAAAATAATAATAAAAAAAGCAAAAGAAAGAAAGAGAGAGATAAACACAAACAAAGCAAAAAGGAAACAAAAGTGATTCACAAAGAGACAGTTTGAATAGTTTCAAGAATGAGAAACACATTGAACTGATTAAACGATGGTACTCACAACACACTTCAGTAGGGGATTTTCGTTTTCAAACTGCTGCTAATTTGAAGATCAATAAGACAATTTAGAAAAAAATATGAATTTTTCTTTTACTTTTCTGCTAATTAACTTTCCATCTGTCATGATCTCTCTACAATGCTCTGCAGACACAGTCAGGCTGCCGTCGAGTGGTGTTGGTCTGGAGGTGCCTCAGATCTCCATACTGAATGCCAGACCCAATCCTTTCTGGATCTAACTCACCTGAAGAAATAAATGAACTGATAATTAAATGCTTTCGAGCAGAACAATTTTATCACAAAAATGCAAATCAATTACTCAGTACCTGTCTCAATCTTTGAGAGGATTGACTTTGAGCATTTCAAAAAGGACTCTTCTATATTCTCTCCAGTTTTCGCACTTGATTCCAGAAAGATGAGTTCTTTGAGGAAGATAAGGTAAGATTAGATTAATATAAATGGAGAAAGAGATAGAGGTTTAGATTTAGATGAGTTTGTAATAAACCTTTACCATTTTCCTGAGCAAACTTGGATGCTTCCAAAAAGGTAACTTCACGTTTTGAATCCAAATCCTTCTTGTTTCCTACAAGGAGTATTACAATATTGGGACCAGCAAGAGTACGAGCATCTCTTAACCAGTTAGACAGAGCATTAAATGAATCCCGGCTTGTGATGTCATAGACTAGGAGGGCCCCTGCAGCACCACGGTAGTAGCTTCGAGTTACAGACCTACACACACGCAATCAAACAAAAACATAAAAATTCTTGTAAAAAAACAAAACTAGATAGAGTTGAACTATTTACCCTTTTCGCTTACCGGAATCTTTCCTGTCCAGCTGTGTCCCATATCTGTAATTTCACAGATTTTCCACCAACCTTGACGATTTTTGAACCAAACTCCACTCCAATGGTGTGACTGCTATTATCCTTGACTGGAATTATAAAACAGGATAGAATGTATAAGAGTTAAGTATTTCAGTCATCTTGAGATAGTCATGGGAGTGACGTGCCTGAGAGCTTAAGTAATTAATTATAACTTACATTTACTCTCAATGAACTGATGCAAAATGCATGATTTTCCAGCACCTGCACTTCCAATCACCAAGAATTTGAATAGAAAATCTGAAAGAATGAATTCTAACGTCAGCAGAGGCAAAAATAATAATAGATTCAGAAACACAAAACAGGTCGTTATGTAAAAGCTTAAAACTGGCGATAGAGTAAGTTAAGTAGACAAGCAAACTAGTTCATAGAGTAGAAGTTTCTTATTGTGTTGACCGATTTAAATGGCTTCTGCGCACTTGTGCGTGTTGTGTTTTCGTCGTAGACAACATTAACCTTGAAACGTAAGCTTTAGGCGATAAGCTGATATTTGTCATTCAACCACAACTCGTTTTACGAAACTTACCGTAAGATTCTGACATGATGAGCTATTTAAAAGCGAGATGAGCGAGGCAGCTGTACCATGGAGTTGTCAGTCAATTTCAAATTGAGAAAAATTCACGGAGAAAGTAGTAAGGATGACTGAAGAGTGAATAATGAAGTTGCGAGTTCGCAAAATGTATATTTGGGGGGAAGCAAATCACGAGTTTCGTTCGAATCAATGTATTGTGAAACTATGACGACGACCTCGGATTCTCAGATTTGATACACAACACCAACACTCAACTTCACAAAACGTCACCGTAGGGTATATATACACACACATAAGAATTCATGTGCGAATACCGCATAAGTCAACTTTATTAGCAGCGTATGTCAAAACTGCCCTACGTTAATACATTTCCTCATGTGTCTGTTCAATGAGGTGTTTGACTATTAGGTGTAAGTTAGAAGTTGAACTTTGAACATTTATTAGATGTCTTTTGTTGTCATGTCGTTTACTTCTGATTTCAGAAAGTCGTAACCTGACAATTGCACTGTCAGGTTGGTAGAGGCCAGCTATTTGTGTCGTCTGCTTTGTTTGTTGACATTCTCT